GGCGTAAAATTGGATCTTATCATATGACTTAAGAGCCTTATCAACCTGGAAATGCTAATCTATTTTATCGAATCTTCACTTAACACCGATTACTAAGTAGGAAAAAAAGAGAAACCAGATAGAAAAAAAAAAATCTAGGCAAGAGTGGCAAATTGGAAGAAAGAAAGAAGAAGGAAGAAGGAAGGAAGGAAAGGAAGAAGGAAGGAAAGAAGAAAGAAGAAGAAAGAAAGAAAGAAAGAAAGAAAGAAAGAAAGAAAGAAAGAAAGAAAGAAAGAAAGAAAGAAAGGAAGAAAGAACACATTATTTATCTCTCTTAGACGCAAATTGTAAATTTTTCGTAAAACTTTCTCTTGCTGCATCGCTATTTTACAGCTAATTCCCAGAAAAAAAATAAATGACAGAGTGGTTAGTGGTCAATCATGACTTGTATATACAATGCTACCATCGGTGACATTACGTAATTCCCGATTACCGCGTGTGTATAGAACAAACAAATAAAGATAACGAAAGAATTTATCATCCAAGGTAATATGCTTAAGTAGAAAGGACAATCAAGAAGAAACAGTGGATAAACTGATTGGAGTACACGTTTTAGAAGAGAAATAATAAATGGAAGCATCACAGAGAGGGAAAGGGAACGGATTACATTTTTATCAGCCGTTTCAGGGAACTCTCGCAGCTCTCCATCGAGGTCGGAGACTATTAAAAAAAAAAAAAAAGCTTTCTAAGATTGTTAAATCAACGAGGCTAGATATCGGAGAACTGTGGAGTGTGTGGGGTCGGGGCCGTAAGCGGTTGGGAGTGGATGGAAGAGAGGAGTTGGAACGGAGGGAGAAAGAAGAAGGAAGGAGAAGGGGGAGGAGAAGAGGGAAGAGAAGGGAGAAGAGAGAGAGGAGGGAAGCGAGAAGGAGGAAAAGGAGGAGAAAGAGAAAGAGAAAGAAAGAGAAGAAGAAAGGAAAAAGAAAAGAGAAGAGGAGAAGGAGAAGAAGGAAGAAGGAGAAGAAAGAGAAGAAGAGAAGAAAGAAAAGAAAGAAAGAAAAGAAGAAATAGAAGAAAGGAGAGAAGGAGTAGGAGTTGGAGCAAGAGTAAGATGAGAAAAAAACATGAAGAAGAAGGAGTAGAAGTAAGAGGGAGAGGAGTAAAAGGAGTAAGAGTAAGAGGAGTAAGAGGAAGGAATAAGAGTGAGAGGAGTAAGAGGAGGAGTGTGGGAAGGTAGGAAGAGCTTGTCAAACGTTATCCAACATTAAAACCCCGAGAGAGCCGACGTAATGTTATTTTCATGCAAGCAATCTATGCTGAGATAAGGATTTATACAAGTCCATGTTCCTGAGCTGGACAATGAATAATTCTCTGATGAAACATTAAAAGAAAATTTAGTTTTTTTTTTCTTTTACGATTTTCATTCAAAAGTTACGCAACTGACTTAGGTAAAGAATTCATATTGAATGGCTCGCTGGATATCTTTAAAGACCATGTATATATATATATATATATATATATATATATATATATATATATATATATATATATATATATATATATATATGTGGTGTGTGTGTGTGTGTGTGTGTGTGTGTGTGTGTGTGTGTGTGTGTAGATGTAGAATGTACAAAAATACACCGATGTAGAATGTACAAAATACACGTAGAAGTAAAAAATATCACGATTCTAGAATACACGAAATGTCAAAATACACGATGTAGAATGTACAAAATACACGATCTAAATGTACAAATACAATGTAGAATGTACAAAATACACGATCTAGAATGTACAAAATACACGATCTAGAATGTACAAAATACACGATGTAGAATGTACAAAATACACGATCTAGAATGTACAAAATACACGACAGCTTTTCCACGCGCGTTAAGATCTCCAGCACAATTATGTATTATTAATTATAGGCGTTTAGTAGAAGTTAATAGATTGGTATCATCCTTCTTAAGAGAAAAAGATAAGAAAAAGATAAAAAAGATAAGAAAAAGGTGGATTAGCTCGGTATTGCCGATAACGAGCTCGAGCAAGTAAGACGGTCATACACGATGTGTAATCCATTATTGTTTAGCAGTTTCGGTGTATTGTTATTAGATTATTTAGTTGTTATCATAGAAATACGAAGGTTGTTTCACTCGTATCTTGTTTTGGTTATTTCGTTATATAGTTTTTAAATCATTTAGTTGTTATCCTAGCAACACAAAAGTTATTTCATTCGCATTTTATCTTAGTTATTTCGTTATATAGTTATTCAATCATAAAGTTGTTACCATAGAAACACTAAAGTTATTTCACTCGTATCCTATCTTAGTTATTTTGTTATTAAATCAATTCCTTGTTATCATAGAAACACGAAAGTTATTTCACTTATATCTTACTTTAGTTATTTCGTTATATAGTTGCTAAATCACTTATTATCCTAGAATCACAAAAGTAATTTCAATCGTATTTTATCTTAGTTATTTTGTTATTAAATAATTTCGTTGTCTTCATAGAAACATAAAAATTATTTCCCTCGTGTCTTATGAGAGAGAGAGAGAGAGAGAGAGAGAGAGAGAGAGAGAGAGAGAGAGAGAGAGAGAGAGAGAGAGAGAGAGAGAGAGAGAGAGAGAGAGAGAGAGGGGGGTCATCACCACCTTTGCCTTGCCTCGCCCTTAATTTGTCTCTTGCTCTCTTCCTCGCTCTTGTCACTCATTTATCGCAGTTAAGTTATTTAGTTATTAAATAATTTAGTTATTACACAAACGACTTCGGTTCCAAACAAGACATTCTATACAGCGAGTGGTTTCCGGTCATTTAGTTATCAAATCATCAAATTATTTTATCCAGTTATCCCAAAACACAGATGTTTATCTCACTCGTATGAAGAAAACGACTTAGCTCTCGGTATCGACTGGAAGCGAAAGGACAGCGAGAAACAGACAACCGGTCGTGGAAAGTGCGTCGAAACGAAAGCTGCTTTTGATGGGTCTGGTCAGGGAAAGTCCGTGGAATCAGGTCATGCGTGTCCGTGGAATCAGGTCACGTGACTGCGTGTTTGGAGGGGAGATAGGGAGAATCGGAATGGGAGAAAGGAGAGAAGAGAGAAGAGAGGAGAGAGGAGAGAGGAGAGAGAAGAGAGAGAGGAATGGAAATGGAGAAAAAAGAGAGGAAAATGAATGAAAAAAATGGAGAAAAAAGAGAGAGAGAAAATATATATATCGGAATGGGAGAAAGGAAGAAGAAGAAGATAGGAAGGGGTAAAAGGGAGAAGGGAAGAAGAGGAAAGTGAGAAGGGAGAATAGGATGAGACGAGGAGAGAAGAGTATAATAGAATAAAAGGAAGTGAAACGAAACGAAGGAAGAAGATGAGAGGAGAAGAGAGAGAGAGAGAGAGAGAGAGAGAGNCCAACAGGCACCCTATGCTACATTCTCTTTAACAACATTTACCTTGTCACAAAATCAATGAAAGAATAGAAAAAAAAAAAAAAAAAAAAAAAAAAAAAAACAGAAAAAAAGAAAAAGAAAAAAAAAAATCCGCATGGACGAGTGACAGTAATTAACTGGCGTGTAAAACAAGGAGGAATGCAGTGCCGCTCTGCTTATAATATTTGGATTTATTATTATCCACGTTTTTCGTCTTTCGTTTATTCACTTCTATTATCATTATCGTCATTATCGTTTTGCCGTGCGCGTCTTCGGAAATAACGTAGCAATAACTACAAAAAAACAACAGAAAATAATAAATAACCACATAAAAAACATCACAACAAAAACAAACAAACAAAAAACATAAAAAAGTGAATACAAAAAAAAAAAGAAAAAGAAAAAGACGAAAGACGAAAAAAGAAAGACAAAAAAAAAAAAAAAAAATCAACACCTAAATTTAACCCACTCGTCAGTCATGAATTCGCCGAATAAAACACCCGCGTAATTTGCCGCATGCATGATCTATAAAAAAAGAGTGTCATGCGAGTCATTACTTGCGCGAATTATTAACTGCATGACTGTAGCCTCCGAGCCGGGTATTTAAACCGCTGCATATCCACTGTATCAATAATTCTTTCTATCTTTCTGGCCTTTCTTTGAGAGAAGAAAAGAGAACGGAAGGAGAAAGAGAAAGAGAAAGAAGATACTTAAACTTGCATTTTCACTGCTAATAATAATTTCTTTCTATCTTCTGGCCCCATTGCAGAAAAAAAAAGGAGAGAGAAGGAGGAAAGAGAGAGAGAGAGATATTTAAATCGGCTTGCATATCCACTGTCATAATAATTTCGGTACAATAATGGCGTCTGTGTTAAATAATCATTTATATCCGCCCACGGGATGTTGCTCCCTGTGACAGTTATTATTATTGTTATTATCATTGTTATTGTTGCTATCATTGTTATATATTGTTATTGTTGCTATTATTGTTATTACCATTGTTATTGTCTATCATTGTTCATTATCATTGGTATGCTGCTATATGTTATTATCTGTTATGTTGTTATTGTATTATCACTGTTATTGTTGTCTATCATTTATTATCATTGTTATTGCTGCCTATTATGTTATTGTTTTTTTTTGGGGCGCTACATTGTTATATTCATGTTATTGTTTGCTATTATTGTTTTATCACTGTTATTGTTGGCCTTACCATTGTTATTATCATTGCTATTATGTTATTATCATGTTATTATAATTATAGTTATCCCTGTTGCTATTACTGATATCACTTATCATTGTTATATTACTGATATCACGTTTTCATTGTTATATTATCCTTACTATCAGTAGCATCATTATCAATCATTATCAATATAATATCTTGGGCAATACATCACAATATTACACTTATATTGTTTTATTACTATCATCACCGAATGATCACCGCTATCATAGTATCATCATTATCATCAGATAATACAGGTGACAAAAAAATTCAAACCACATTAGTATTAAACAAAACCTAAAATACAGGGTAAATAACCCCCCAAAATGAAGAAGAAGAAGAAGAAGAAGAAGAAGAAGAAGAAGAA